TATACTTTGTGCATTTTGGTTGTTCCAATAAAGATATTGTCTTTTTCTGTAGATTTTGTGGATTTTGGATATTGCTGTATTTTGCTGTATAGTTACCCCTGGATATGTTTTCTGGATTAACAGTGATTATGTCAGGGTGGATATAGGAGGCCCCTGCACCTCTAACAGCCAAAGAACAGCCAAAGCTTTGGGCTCTAGTACCTTTATGCTAGTATAACTTTCCCCAGCTGAATTCTAAACTTTCTTACTACAGTCACCTCTCCGTGCTCAAAGACTTGAGATCTGTGGTTTCAAATATTCATGGAGGGGCAACCTCCATTAAGATCAATGAAGTGTGTGCCTGCGCACCCATGGGGGTGCACCCCATCCCAACTCTATGGGGCTTGAATATCAGAAAGTCTCTGTTTTTGCCGGGGAGGGGTCCAGAATGGATCCCTCACGAAATGGAGGGCCAACTGTATTCTGATCCACAGTTAGGGTAGATGGATGAAGATGGGGATAAGGTTGCTGCCTCTTTATAAGTTGTGCAAAAGGGGGAATTTCAACAGATGTATCTTGCATGCCCAACCATTTCCTGAATTCCATTGTCAAGGTGCAGGAGACTGGTCCACCTTTCTTTGCATCTGACTCTCTGACCTCTCTGCCAGCTGGCATCATGGGGAAATCCATCTTTCAGGTCACTGGGTAAACCTTCCAAGAAAAGTTGAGGCCCAGTGCTTTATAAAAAACTGAGCCCTGTTTACACAATCTAATCTTTCCACTCCAGAGTCAAGTTCCAAATTTCCATATAAGCAAGGGAGAAAAGTTCTTCATTGCCTGTAATGAGTCTCCAGAGAAGCTGTAAGCCACTTTGGCCCCATTCCTTCAAATGGCCATGTGGAAACTTTGTGCATCGGCCTTTGGAACAGAGCATGCACATTTTCTGGAAACTTTAAGGATTCTTCCTTCCCCAACTTTCATTGTCTAGGGAATCCTGTAAGGCTGAGCCAAGCTTGCATGCTCCTTGTGGGCACTGTGTTCTCTCTTGTTCCAAAGCATTTGTTATGGAAAAGCAGCCAACCAGCGGGTGGAGAGACTTGGAACTAAATTTCTCTTGATGCATTTGTTACCAATGGACTTCTGTTGTTAATTTGTTCTGTTGTTAATTCAGAATGAACCATCTGAAATCATGGCCAGGGCAAGTTTGGTGTGGCATTCTTCATCCTGCCAAGATGCCAGGGATTTCCATAGGCCAGCCATCAAATACATGTGAAAGTTCTGGCCCTACAAGTTCCCAAACTCAGACAAGAATGGTGGTGTTTAGGGTGGCATGAGGGTTTAAATCTGGAGGTAGTGGGTCCTCAAGAGGCGAAGAAGCATTGCAGCATGGGAACAAAATGATGCTTGGAAAATCCCAATAGTCCTATTGTCACACAGTGGCAGTGTGGTTGGATATTGTTTGAATGGGTAAGCTAACAGATTTAGAGAATATCAGGACTAATTTTGTATATCAGCAGGTTTTTTGGGTTTTGATAAAGCTGAACTGTTTTGTATTGGAATGTTTGTTGTATTTGGATGTTGCATTGGAATGATCATATATTTGACACAGTCCCTTCTCCAGATGTATAGTTTTCTTTAGCTTACCATTAAGGCTACAGGACACCTATCAATTCAACAATACTGTTGTGTATTTGGAAGCGGGTCAGGAGGTACAATGCTGGGTTTCCATGCAGGGAAACAATCTACCTGTTGAACGTATGCAAAGGGATCTTGTAGCACCTGTGAGACTAACTGAAAGAAAGAAGTTGGCAGGATGAGCTTTTGTAGGCTTCAGTCTACTTCCTATTTGGACTTAGGAAGTAGACTTGAGTTTATGAAAGCTCCTGCTGCCAACTTCTTTCTTTCAGTTAGTCTTAAAGGGGCTACAAGATCCCTTTGTGTACTGATTTTCTGGACTAACATGGCTATCTGTTGAATATTTATCTGTCCCTATGGTTATTAAAGGGGTGTGTGGACTGGATGTATCCTGCCAGCATGTGTGATTGTGATGATGCATTTCTTGAAAAATGTATGTACATTCAATAATTTGGGGTTTGGGGTGAAAACATCCTCTCAGGACAGCTCTCAGTAACCTAAAATCATTTAAAAACAAGTATTATAAAGGCCTTTAATAATGATAGGTGGTGTCCTTACCAAACACCTAGCATCTAACAAAACAATCCCCAAAAGTCATCTGGAATGGGAAAGGAAATTTTGAAGCGAATAGGAGAATGAATTAATGGAGTTTTCATATTGTTATGATACCTAGCATCCCAGATTGGAGCTGGGATAAGTTACTTGTCTGGACTACAGCTGAACTACATCATAGAATCATAGAATCATAGAGTTGGAAGAGACCGCCAATAGCCAAGGTGGCTAGGGAATTCTGGGAATTGCAGGATTTTCCCAAGTTGTGCTCTGTATACACATTCTGTTGCCTCTTCCATTCCTACTTTATTTTAGTTTAGCAAGTGAAAAAAACGTATAGAATTGCAGAGGACTTGGAAGTCATCTCAATGCAATCCAATCTAAACTTCCTACTAATGCACAAATAACTGAAATTGCGAATGTATCCCCCCGCAAACATAGTTTGAACAGTTTGTTAAGGTTGCCACTTTCTTTTTGGCTCTGCTCCTGTGCAGTTAGCAGCAGCTGGATGCACTGAAAAGAAGCAGGCTATGCTTTTGTTGCCATTGAGGTAACATTATGATGAAGAGGAAACATTGCATTACTCACTGCATTTTGGTGTCTTGGATTACTGTTAAAGGCAATCTTTTTATTTTAGGTGAAAGGAAAGCCCTGTTATCGATTCTGTGGCATGTTTGCTCCATTGCTGTTGCATTAATAAATGTGCCACAGTCGGAAAAGTGCATTGTGTGACACACACACACACACACACACACACACACACGCATCCAAAATACTGCTGGGGATGGAAAAGATGCTTAAATTCTGCAGGCAAGTTGCCATTCATTTTTCTAAATGACTCATTGTAGCAAGAAGGGGAAATTGGAACAGGTCCAGGTTCAGACATGCGCTCAGCACTTGCAAATTAAGTCCATGAAAAAAGACTGCTCTTTCCATGGCTCTGAATGGGGCAAAGGATGCAGGAAGGCATCATTTTGGGAAATGTGACAACTGTCCTGGACTGCTAGGCATGTGGTATAATGGTTTGAGTGTTGGACTGTGGAGATCAGGGTTCGATTCACCTCTCGGCCCTGGAAACCCAGTGGGTGACCTTGGACAAGTCACATAATCTCAGCCCCCCAGAAAACCCTGGAATAGGGTCACCTCTTAGGGTCTCCATAAGTTGGAAACAAAGGCGTAAAACAACAACAATATTCTGTACTGGCTGTATCACAAAAATTACTCTTTGGACTTGGTTGAACTCTCATAATACTCGCCTCCATATTGGATGAAATGGATTCTGCTATTTCCCCTGTCAAAAGAGGTTTGCAAATACATTTGATCAGAAGTGCAAGAGAGATTTTAAAGACGTCCCTACTGCAAGAAATGGCATCTTTATCATCCCACTTCAGAGTTCTTTTAAAACATGTGATTCTCTTTCCTTCTCTCCTCTAAAAAGAAAACTGGCATTGGATCCTACAGGTGTGGTGTGAGATCATCTTCCTTTCGGATTTGCAATTTGAATGGCAAATACATAAAACAGCATATTGAATAATGGTTCTGTCCCTGTTTCACATAGCCTATTTGTGTGTGCGTTTTTAAAAGAAGCATTGAATGTATATATTTATATTTATTCAAATGTATATTTTAGTGCAATTTTAAAGGTACAAAACTACTCCAGGTGAGAGGATTTGTGATTTCAAAGGCACCAGCCAATCAGCTATATGCTTGGTAGGGCCATCCTTTGTCTTATTTTTGAATATATAAATATGAGAAATGGCAAAGTTATTAATGAAGAAGAACATAGGAAAACCTGGAATTTATGCACTGAATTTAGAAATGGCAAGATGCCACCCACTTCTCTCCCTTTTTCTGAGTTAATTTGAGTTGAAGCTACTTTTATAGTTTGATCTCAATTTGTAGCAATTGAAAAGAAATGAGGGCAAGGCGGGAGGAGGAGAAGAATAATTTGGGACATTTTAATGGCAGCTGAAAAAGTGGGACAGCAGAGGATTAATGGGTACTGTCCCTGCCAAATTGGGACAGTTGGAGGGTATGAAAGTGGGGAGGACTTTTGGCACCTATTTAGTCTTTTCACTGTCCAATGGATTTTCTATGGGAAGAAAAGTTTTAAATTGGAGATATCAGGAAGGACTTGAACTTACACTTTCTACATGTACAGACTCTGCCATTGAGTTGTGGATTGTGTAAGCTATATACATATAGCAGTTGGATACTGCTTTAACTGCCCTAGCTCCATCCTATGCAATCCTGGGATTTTTAGCTTGGCAGGATACATATAAGTCTTTACTAGAGAGATCTAGTCCACTCCCCCTGAACTACAGCACTAGGACTCTCTAACCAAGAATTGCAAGATTTGAAGATTGCAAGACCTTCTCTGAAGATGCCAGCCACAGACGCTGGTGAAACATCAGGAATAAATTCTTCTAGAACATGGCCACATAGCTCCCCAAACCCACAAAAAACCATGGATGCCACCTGTGAAAGCCTTCGACTTCCAATTGCAAGATCCTTCCCAAACTACAAATCCCAGGATTCCATAGGATGGAGCTGTGGCCATGGAAGTGTGATCACATTGTGATAACTGTGTAGTGCAGATATTCTTATCAGCTCTCCGCTCATGTAATGTGATGATGTTGGAACTTCTATATTTTCATGCAATAGGAGCAGTTATTAGTTGTTGTTGTCATTGTGAGCCTTTACGTCATTTCAGACTAATGGCGACTCTAAGGCCATGGGGTTTGCTTGGCAAGATTTGTTCAAAGGAGGCTTGCCCTTGCCTTTCCCTGAGGCTGAGAGAGTGTAACTCACCCAAAGTCACCCGGTGGGTTTCATGGCTGAGCTGGGAATCGAACCCTGGTCTCCAGAGTCCTAGTCCAACGCTCAAACCGCTACGCCATGCTGTTGTTAGTAGGCAGTTGCTTTTTACCTTTGGGCAACTTGAACTTTTTTATGTTGCTGCAAGATCACCAGTGAAGGATCTTTAGGAGCAAATGCCTGTCGTTGATCTGGTTTTTCTCTCCTTGAAGAGGAGATGGTTGGCAGGAAGTGCTGTAATGCACCCTGTATTTTCAAGCTGCAAATAATCTGGTTGCAAAGGAAGCTGTAATTTAATGGGGCTCAGCACACTATGTTTTCTGAACATATGAAAACAAGAGAGAGAGAGAGAGAGAGAGAAAATAATTCCAAAGAGAGTTGCTCATAGGAGGACAAAAATGAAGGGAAACCTGCTCAGGACTGTTGTGTAGGATGCCAAGTGTGAATGCCTGGACTGTAGTTGGAGACGGAAGGAATTAATGTCACCTTTTTTTCTCAGTCGTTGCTTCAAAGGAGGACATGGTGGTGGGGCTCAGTGGCTAAGTCAGCAATCTATTCTGTATTCACCTGTCAGTGGTTGCGTCCGCACTGGAGAATTAATGCAGCTTGACAGCACTAAACTGACTCGGTTCAATGCTGTCGAATTCTGGGAATGCTAGTTTTGTGAGATATTTAGCTTGCTCTGTCGGAGAGCTCTGGTGCCACAACAAATTACAAATCCCAGAATTCCATAGCATTGAGCCCTGGCAGTTAAAGTGGTGTCAGTGCTATAACTGTGTACCGTGAAAGAGATGTAGTCCATCATCAAAGTGCTGTAACTGTGTGCTGTGAAAGAGATGTAGTCCATCGCAAAGTGCTATAACTGTGTACTGTGAAAGAGATGTAGTCCATCAGCAAAGTGCTATAACTGTGTACTATGAAAGAGATGTAGTCCATCATCATCATCATCATCATCATCATCATCATCATCATCATCAATACCATATATACTCGACTATAAGTCAACCCCATGTATAAATCGAGGGCAGATTTTGGGCCAAAATTATGGAACCTGATATGGCTCATGGATAAGTTGAGAGCAAAACCTAGGGGCATGTAACAAAGGATTTAAAAGGCAAAGCAAAGGAAAAGGATGCCCCCCAAAACCTTACCAAATTCTGGCAGCCATAACTGTTTGGGCTCATCCTAAAAGTTGGATCGATGACAAGGGAACGGTGGTAAATTGGGAAAGTTGAAGGATACACATCCTGACTTTAAGTGATCTCAAGGCAATGCAGATAGATCTCCTTCCCTCCACTTTACCCTCACAACAAGCCTGCGAGGGAGATCAAGCTGAGAGAAGGTGACTGGCCTGATATCACCCAGTTTAATTTTCCCCCCAATATGTTGCTGTTATAATTTTTTAAGTTCAAGTTCTTTCGGTCAAATTGACAACAAAATCTTCACCCACCCCTTCCAAAGACAGGCTTATTATGTGTTGTGTCTATGACAAGACGAAACAAGCCTTTAAGTTGGCTTTCAGCCTGCTTTGTGTTAATACAAAAAACTCTCCGGGGAATGATGGGGGAAAGGTAAACAGTCACCTGTTATTTGCTTTTTTGGAAAAACAACAACACAATAGTCATGTTAACATGCAGCAGCTGGGTTTACATCCTCTATGCCTCTCTTATAAGTAGGAACTTGGGGTACATGATGGTTTGCGCATCATCTTTAGGCTTCAGACAATTAACCTTTAAGCAGCTGGATGCTTTATAAGTAGGCTGCATCCACACTGCAGAAATAATCCAGGGTGACACCACTCCTAATGGCCATGGCTCAATGCTATGGAATTCTGGGGATTGTAGTTTGTTGTGGCACCAGAGCACACTGACATAAAAGGCTAAACGTTTTACAAAACTACAGTTCTTAAAATTTCCATAGCATTGAGCTAAAGTGGTGTCAAACTGGATTTTTTTTCCAGCAGTGCGGATGCATCCTAAGTGAATTATGGAATATTTTTGACCCCAATAAAAATTCCAATTTGTCCAGAGTTTAATACAGACTTCTGTTATTTCTTGGTCCCAGTGAGCATTCTAATATTTTTCACCAATAAGACCAACCTACTGACCACAAAAACATGTCATTTGTGCTTTGCAGCACTATAGTCCCCCTGATTTTTCTTTTTAAAATGCAAGGACAAAAAGTAATCGAATACCCAAATATCTGGGACAAAAAGTAACCTAAATAGCCAGCAATACAATTCTTTGGGCTTTTTTCCCCTAGCTTTTTTTTTTTAACCTGTGCATGGCAAGTAGGTGAATTTGGGGAAATTGTTTAAAACTGTTCAGTGCTAGGGCACCCCTATAATAATAATAATAATAATAATAATAATAATAATAATTTAATACCCCACCCCTCTGAAACCAATCGAGGCGGCTTACAGATGGTAAAAAAATCTGTACCTGTCCTGGAAACATGAGGATGAGTCGTAACAAAGATGTTTTGTTGTTGTTGCTGTGATGGTGTTCGGTGGCACACCTTGGATGTGGCAAAGGAACCCTGGTTCAGATTTCCGCATAGCTGTGCATTGCATTAGCTTGCCTTGAGCTTGTCACAGTCTCCTGTCTGATCTTAACAACAGTCCTGCAAAGTAGGTGAAAAATGTTGTTCTGAACTAGAACTCAAATGCAGCGTATTTTTTCTATCCTTTCAGCAATTCCAGTTGGATATTGCTTTCTCTGCTTTATAAGCCTTCAGCCTCCCCTGCCCACAGTTATTCATTCTCTGATTCATTCAATCTATGCTTGGCCATCTCAAAGGGACTTAAGACAAGAAAAATCCACAAGAAAGGATGCAAGAATTACATCAGAAAGGATTTTTAAACAGCCAAAAAGTAGTACAATACTTGTTCTCCCACAATATAGAGCTCAAAACCAAATATTTCCGCTATTCTCCCCAACCCCTAGAACAAATACCACTGAATAAATACCACTGTTACCATTGTTGTACTAATGGGAGGGTGTTTTCCCTTCTTAATGATGGTGCGTGATGAATTTTTCGGATTCAAATTCAAAACAAGGCCCCAAGCCAAGAAGTCGTGATCACAGATTGTACTTGTAGCACCTTTTGAGACGGAGTGAAAAACATTGCATTGCAGCATACGCTTTTGTAGACTTGGTCTACTTCCTCAGATGCCATCTACGAAAGCTTAGGTTACAATGCCTTTTGCTCAGTTGATCTCAGAGGTGCTAGAAGATCCCTTTGCATGCTCATATTCCAGACTAACATGAACATATTGTACTTGTTAAGGTTGCAGTATTTAACTCAGTCAGGAGACTCTAGCAGCTAGAAAGCAATTCAGATTTGATGCCATGCAGTGTATATCTGAGTAGTTATACTTAGGGTCATGCTGCATAGCTAAGTAAAGGAAGATGCAACGTCAGCCCTAGAATCAGGTACTTGATGTACCTAGAGATTACTTTGCAGGATTTACTGGGGCTCCATGCCACTTGCTACTATTGTTGTGTGGCTTCAAGTTGTTTCTGACTTATGGAGATCCTATCACATGGTTTTCTTGGCAAGATATGTTTGGGGGGGGGGTTGCCTTTGCCTTCCTTTAAGGCTGAGAGAGTGTCACTTGCCCAAAGTCATTCAGTGGGAATCCAGGATTCAAACCCTGGTCTGCACAGTCTTAGTCCAACACTCAAACCACTACACAACACTGGCTCTTGCTGGAGTTCATGGCACTTGTTAAATTTGGGGACTTGCAGATTAGCAACGTGAGAAAACAAAGAACATCCAAAAGGTGTATATATCCTTTGTTATTGATATTTTTATTTTATTTTGTGTCTGACTTTAAATTTTCATATATTTGGACGCCTTTTGCCTATGCAAAAGGAGGCACAGTGGTACTAACTTCCTGATCCTTTGCATCCAATGGGAATTGTAGAGGAATGAGGATGCTTTGGTACCCACTTTTCTTGCAGTGTTCCTAGATCTACTTGTGTGGGCAAGGAAGCTTGGAGACCAAACAGGGCCAGGATGGAAAGGAGACCTTTCATGGAAGAGGTACTCTGTGCCTGTTGATCTGGTCCTGGAAACAAAGCACTACATGAAAGGATGAGCTCACACTGGGCTTAACAGAGGACTTGTTACACAATAGCCTGGCTGCAAAGATGATTTAGAATTGCAGAATAGGGTCCATGGTTGGAGCAAGGTTGGTTAAACTCTCATTGGATTTCATTGTTTCCTTTTGGACGTCTGCAGTAGGTTTTCATCTTGTTCAAACAAATGAATTCATCAGTCAGAGCTAGCAACCTCAGCACCTCCATGGCTGAGACAGTGGATTCTGACAAAGTTTGGAGATTCATTCATTTATTTAACTGAATTTATAATCCACCTGTAAGGTAGTTCTCTCGCCCTGAGATTTGTCCCCTGTACCTTAAGGACTGGAGAAGAGGATCTAGGAGGGCAACCAAAAAGTGTGCCAATAGGCTTGCCTGGACCTTAGAAAGTTTTGAAAGTTACTTTAACAAAACAACAACAAATTAGTTGCTGTTAAGTTCCAAGGCCCCCCAAAGTGTTTAATCACTCTTACCGTTAAAAAGCATTCTAAAAAGCAAGTCTTTTGCTTCCTTGTTGTCCAACAGTCACTCAAATAGTATTAAAAATATATATTTTTTGAAAAGTTGCTTTGAAAGACACAAAGACCAGAATGTGACAAGCTGCTAGACTGGGGTACAAAACATGTATAAGGAGGGTTGGGCATCCTGTAATTCTAAAAGTAACTTACACATGGCGACAGTTACGCCACAAAAGAAGTGATGTTATCTCTCACTACATTGAAAATTGGTTAAGCCTTGATTATTGCCAAACACAGTTAATTTGAAGTGAACTAATTAGAAGTAATTAATTAAAATTAACCCTTATCCATGGAAGCTGGGACTTTTAGCCTAAGCTCTGTCCAAGATCTGCCAGCGTCGCCTGGTGCTGCTGATCGCTCTGATTTATGTACAGTATTTGTACACCTATTTTCAGCGGCACAACTTCAACATAATAAACTTGCTCATTATAATACCTGAAAAACGATTTAAAAAAAATTATCTCAGCT